GGAATTCAAAAGTTTGCCCATTTTTGTTATCACACTTAATTTGCTGGAGTTATAGAGGGAAACATTATGAAAAATTGGTGAGTTTTACTGCTTGTGCATCCCTGAACTCATCATTATGCACAGTTTTAGAAAATGTACAATATTTCTTATTCTGTGGACGGAGTACATCATTGTTCGTGTCATGGTTTATCATATTGCGTATATAAAGGGAATGGTGATTTCAGCTGTGAAACGTAAATTTCACTTATGGTGCCAATGGTGTCTATACAATAATTAAATATGCATTGTGTAATGCATATATAATTCACAATTGTGTATATAAAATGATGGATGCAGTAAAAGGTCAGCAGACACAGACACATCATGATACAAAAAAGGCTATCAGTGAGAATTAAAAGAGATTTGGTTAAAAAAAAAAAAAAAAAGAAAAAAAGACCTAGAAAACCTATGCTATATATGAAGGTGGAGTTAAAAAACAAGGCCTAAAGATTTAGTAGCATGTAGTTAGTAGTATCCCTGGATCCAGCAATATTCAATAGCCTTAGCAAATGGTCTGATCATTTCCACATGCCGAAGAGACACAATGGAAGGAGACGAGCATTTGCATTGCTCTTTATTACTGTCTTATGGCCAAAAATGAAATTGTATCTGTGTATGCCACCATAAGACTCTGAGGTTTCTCCTCAGCAACATCAATAATAAATTGCAATTGGATCTTTGCATTGGACAAAGTCATCTGACATGAAGTATGGTTAGAAACGAATATAGTCATAAGCATTGGCGGATTCTTCATGTATAAACTGGGCAAGAAGAAAAACTAATATAATAATGTACCTAAGTTGAGGAAGCCTGGAAGAATGTTTAATTAAAGCTATAAATTCTTTTTCTAGTACTTTTAGCCTTTGTCTTTGAGGTTTTTTAACAACTAATTTGGATTTCTCTTTATGTATTTGCATATGCTTATACAAGGTGTGAAGACAAAACTTATTCTAATTATCCCCTAGTTACATCCAGAAATGAACTGCTGTACCTATATTTAACAGTTTAAGGCCAGCACACAAGCCTTTTTGTAGCTACCATCACAAGTGGATTGCATCTTCCACCAATATCTAAGAGGGTTTCACGAGTCATCCCCTTCACTCAACTTTGTGTCTGATTGGGAAATACAGTAGGTTACCAAATATTGTTTCTGATATTTGGGGGAGAGACATTTTGGAATCAGAGAAAGATGAACGGTAAACACTAATAGCCTGTGGCAAGCAATGAATGGCGCACTTCTGGTCCATCTCCTTAAGAGCATGGTGGAGGAATCTTGAGATTTGTAAAGTCTTTCCTGAATTAACTTTCTGCTGCCTGGAAACTAATGTAAAATGTCTACTGTGAAACAGCAAATAAACCAGAATCATTTCATGTATTTGCAAGTGTATTTGGAAGTTACTTTTAATTATTATTGCCTGTTCTGCTCTGCTGCAGATCCCTTGCTATTTCCTGTGTATTAAACAATGACAACAACACACTACTGCTAGATTAAAGAGATGAAAGCAGTTTTTTTCATTAAGGCTCAAAAGCTAAAGGTTAGATCAGGCTCCAACAGCGAAAACCTGAATGCATTGTAATAAAGGATAAAACATCCTCTATCATCCACATGATAAAGTACACCCTGACTGCACAAGGAGAGCTATAGAAGAACTCATTTACAATAAACATAGGGACAGGTACAATAAACTGTTTAGCCTCTTCCAAAGATGTTATTGAAAGATGCTTAGCCAGTTGATTACAGTCAGAGAGACAAACATGAAGTCATAGAATCACAGAATGGTTTGTGTTGGAAGGGACCTTAAAAATCGTCTAGTTTCAAGTTCCCTGCCGCAGGCAGGAATCCATTAGACCAGATTTCTTAAAGCTCCATCCAACCTGGCCTTGAACACTTCCAAGGATAGGGCAGCCACAACTCTTCTGAGCAACCTGTTCAGTGCCTCACCACCCTCACAGTGAAGAACTTCTTCCTAACAGCTAATATAAATCTACCTTTTTTCAATTTAAAGCCATTCCCCCTTGTTCTACCCCTACATGGCCCTGTAAAAAGTCCCTCTCCAGCTTTCCTGTAAGCCCCAAGGTTTTAGGTTGTGCTGGGGCCCTAGAGCTGAGCACAGTACTGCACATGGGGTCTCATGAGAGCAGAGTAGAGGGGGAGAATCACCTCCCTTGACCTGTTGGTCATGATCCTTTTGATGAAGCTCAGGATACGGTTGAGCAAGCGCACACCGAAGCTGGCTCATGTTAAGCTTCTCATGAACAAACACCCGCTAGTGCTTCTCCTCAGGGCTGCTCTCAATCCAGCCTACACCCAGCCTGTATTTCTGCTTTGGATTGCCCCAACCCAGGTGTAGGGACTTGCACTTGTCTTGGTTGAACTTCATGAGGTTGGCATCAGCCCACCTTTCAAGCATGTCAAGGTCCCTCTGGATGGCATCCCTTCCCTCCAGCATATTAACCATACCTGACAGCTTAGTATCATCAGCAAGCTTGCTGGGGTTGCACTCAATCCCATTGTTCATGTTGCTGATAAAGATGTGAAACAGCACAGGTCCCAAAACTGAGCTCTGAGTAATGACAGTCATCACTGTTTTCCCCTTGGACATCAATCCTTTTACTGCAACACACTGAGAGCAACCATTCAGCCAATTTCTGATTGGGAAGCTTGTGTGTATTCCAGATGATTTCAGATGGGCTCTCAGGATACAACACTGTTCTCTACAATTTGAACTGCTCATTATGGCTATTACCTCTCAATGGTCACAATAACCTTACAGGAAAAAGTGTATACAGTTTCCATGCCATGCTGGGCAGAATAACTTTCTCACAAATTTGTAAAAAGTACAAAAAAAAACCCCAAAAACGAAGGTGCAGGCAGGCAGGGAAGCACAATCAGCTCCAGAAACAACATCCAGAAGTAAACACCAGACATACGAAATGCAGACATACAAAATCCTCTGCAGCAAGATAATATTGCTCTGTTCCTGATGTTGTGAACATAAAAAATGCCAGCTCTTTATAAATCAGTATGGCTCATCACCACAGTGAATACATATATTTAGTAGTAGCTGCACTGCACTAGTTTGGTCAGAAGATTTTACTAAGCTCCTGAGATCAGACTGAAGGACCTTATGCAGAGGATTATTGCAACTGTAGAGATTTGACTGCAGCTACCATGATTTATGGCAGCTCGCTTTCTGTCCATGTTGTTCTGTAGGCTCAAATGTTTCTTACCTTGTATTAGCTCAATAAGTTTCTTTTATTCCCCCATTTTCAGGACACATTACTATGCCAATTTTCCATGCCAATGCAGATTACATTTTCCTGAAAAGATCATTACAATCTAGTACAGATTTTATATATCAGCTGTCAAATAATAATTTTCTTAGGAAAAGCATTTGATAAAAAAGAAAGACTTTAGTTTTTTGTGTGAATTACATGTACATTCATTAACTTCTAAGGAATGCTATTCGCCCTACAGGATTTTCCAAGGCCTTCAAAAAAGGACTTCTGTTCATTTTGAAACCACCTAATACAGTAGTGCTTGTTTCTAACTGGGGCTTCTAGATGTTATCACACTTATAAAGAGATGATTCTAACAACAGTGGTAGTAAACAAAAGGTCTAAAACCAGTTCACACTATAACATCTTGTGAATAATATTTCAGTAGACATCTGAGTATAAAGTACTTTGCACTTATCCAGACTCTGTGGCCCTGCAACATTAAGGACTACTGTCATTTCTAGGTGGAAAAGTTTGTCATTCATATAGTGAGCATAGTTAGTAAAGCAGGTTTTTCCATCCAGCCGTCTCCCTTGCTTCTATGCACTGTCTTTGTAGTGTTAGCCCCCATAAGCTGTTGGTGGTGAATGAGACATGCTCACGTAAAGTTCCCTGCAGCAACCATTGCCAAACAGCAGCTGAGAGACTCATAATGACTCACTGGTGCACAATAGCTCTAATTTCCTTTTTCTGTTTTCAGTCTCTCAACATTTTCTTTTTCTGATATTCCAGTGCCAGGACTGCTTTGTTCATTTTTTCCTAGGGAAACAATCTTTGTTTTTTAACTGAGATATGAGAACCGGACAAAATTTATTTAGTATATGTTTTCTTAGACCACTGTATGTGTATTTATGTATATACAAAAGTATATATGCACATTTATATACATGCATATAAATATATATGTGCATATCTTTTTCGCTCCATATATGTGTATGTATAGTGGCATAGTAGCAAATCACAGCTTTCATGACCTCCACTACCCTCCAGAAGAGATGAGCTCTAACAACAACTCAGCTATCCAAATTAGCCTGAGGAGATTTTCTTGCTAGTCTCCCATTTTCCCCTCCGCCCGAATAAATCACATACATGCCTTCTTACACTACCTTCAAGTGCAGTAGCATAATGACAAGGTAAATACATTTTTCCTGAAGATTTTCGTAAAGATTTTAGAAGTTTTTAACTCCGTTAAGTATACTTAATATACTTAAGGGAAGTATAGTTTTACCTTAGAAGGTTTACTTTAGCAATCTCGCATTCTGTGATGTTGCCTTTTCTGATTATGTTTCCCCAAAGTACAGTTCAAGGTATAGTTTAAGATCATTTGAAGTATAATGTATACTTTATGCAGTATATATAATTTTATTTGCTTTTTCTTAAACCACACATTATGAAAGATGTGAGAGAGCAGAACTAAATCCCAAGACATTGTACAAGTGATTATTAACTGAAACTGTTTCAGTAGGGTATTACTTATTTTTGTAATAGAAGGTGTTATATATTTTTCCCTGGGTATGAGAGCAAGTCCTTGCTTGCATCAAAAGAAGCCTGTGTTGATCTCTGCAAAATATATTAACTAAATTTTCTAGTGTAATGGTAACACTATTAACAATCCAACCAGCTTGTAGGTCAGATTTTTCTACTCTTTAAGACAAGTAATACTATGTCCTTGGCCACATCACCTGATTTTAGAAATCAGTTTGATCTTCCAGACCTCCTTTTGAAAGAAAATTTGCATCTCTGCAGAAAGGCAGGTTGGTTTAAGCCCAGTTCATGCAGAAAGTCAGTAAGGAGCTGATCTGAGTTTAGAATACACTCAGGTAGGTATTCCTAGTCATGCAAGATGAATGACCACTCCTGCCTTCTCATGAAATCTGAAGTATGGGAGACTGGCATTTCCATCCAACACGCATGAAAATATCTGCAAGAAATAGAGAGAAAGAGAAACTTGTGAAATCTATAGCAAACATGTTGCAAGTAACTCACATAAACACATCCCCTATAAAATAAAAAATGAAATTCCATATCATGCCACTCTATATTTCACCCAATAATTTTGTGTTCTAATTATCAGTACAAATCACAGATTTTGTGCTGGTCACACCTAATTTATGAACTGTATAGAATAACAGTTAATTGCCTCCATACTTAATTCTCCCTTGTATCTTCTCCAGTGATATTCATGTATTTCCGCCAAGATTTTAATTGATTTTCATAGTAGCCACTTGTTAATAGGATAATTTGTCAATACCATAATAAAACAATTGTTCCTGTAGCACTGCGAGTTCAGTTTATGGGATAACAAAGTAAAGTCTGGTTTCATTAATTGAAGGCAGCTGTAGGGCTTGCAGGATGAAAGATATAAATCTCGATGGCACTGCTGAAAACTAGGTCAGAGGGCAGGGGAAAATTAGTTAAGCATGATGGACCAACAGTGACCTGTACAGGTGTTCAGGCTCGCTTTCGGAGTATCACTTCCTCTGTTCCTATTTGAGTCTGGCAAAGCCCATAGGTCAACATGTGCACTCTCATGCCTGGTTTGAATTAAAAGCCAGTTTAGAGCTGCTCACTTGCAAATTCTAGATAATGTTACCTATCAAAAGTAAAACATTTCACAATGTCTTTATGTTGTCATGTATTTCCCAAGGAGCTTTATTTACACCAGTAAGAGCCTCTTGACTCCTAAAATAGGAGACTTAAAATAAGATTCAGATTCTACAAAGGTAGAAAAGCAATATTACAAAGGGTTGAGTACTGTTCATGAAGTTAGATAAAGGGAAGACTAAAAAAATATCTATTGTAAGTCATCCTGATTGATACAAATCTGTTCATCTATCATATGCAACTCCCCACAACACTAATGGTGTAAATATATTTCCCTCTGTCAAAATTTTTAAAGTAATACTTTCCATATCTACTGTTTTCAGTACTGAATATTGTTCTCGGTACTTTACAACCTTCTGTCTTGAGCTTATTTTACATTAACAGAAAACTTTAAAAGCACAAAAAGCTTGCTAAAATTAGTTTTTATTATAATCATTTACATTCAAATTCAAGTTTTCTTAAGAGAAAAAAGAGTATGGTTTGACACTATACATTCTGTATTATGTGAGCTTACTGTGTTAATAAGTCAGGCAGAAAATGCCAAAGATATTTGTTTGATCTTGCTTGAAATCAAACACCTTCAGCTATATAAGACACAGATCCAACACGTAACTCATCCTCTTAGATGAGGAAAATAAAATAATCATACTGTAGTGAGTAGGACGAGGGCAGCGTTTCTGCATTACAAGGAGTGAAGGGTTTCATAGAGAAATGTTTCAGTGAGAGGCAAGGAATAAGATGACTTGTCTTCTGGGTTTCTGGTATAGATCTTTAAGGAACCAGTTATCACAGTTACTTTCTGAGGTGCACTTTTGTACACCTCAGCTCCTTGAGCGAATCAGGAAACTGCAAGTGTAGTATTTATGAATGTAAATATACATGTATGTTTACTCATGCATGTCACCTGAAAATGAGCCTGAGTGAGGTTTTACCTGCAAATGGAAACTCCTGGCTGATGGAAATACCTGCGCCTCCATTAGAACAGTCTTGGAAGCAGCCATTTTTACAACATGATCTTTCTGGCTTACCACGGCCACTTTCCTGTCTTCCTCTCACAAGCAACTGTTAGAATTTAGAGTCCAACTATAATGTATCTATCTCATTTGGGGGCTTTGAAGTGGTAGATGACAGTGTTTGTTGGCTGCCTTTCTAATTTTCTCCTTATCGAGTTGAGGATTTCAGAGTCATGTCCGCCACCTTATTTTTTAAATTCAGAGGTAATCAGAATCCACAAAAACCTGAATTGACAGAATTTGAAAAAAATTGTTTACCTTCAAATTCTCATAATAAAGGCACAGAATCTGCAGGGGGAAAAAAAAAAAAAAAGGAAAAGAAAAGTAATGCTTAATGGTTCACATCTTTAGCAAGAAGGCTCATTTCAAAGGAAGTCTTTTAGTCTTTTTCATTCATGAAATACAAAATATTTTAAAACTGAAATTTTGCTTCATGTTTTTAACAGAGGTTTGGTTTCCTTGCAGATTCATGGAAATGATGTCAAGTGCTCAAATTGTTTGCTGGTTAGTTTTATTCTAACTTCCTCAGTTACAACATTCTTCATCCTTAACCTACTGTACAAAGCAGTTCATTCCCAACACCACCAAACAATATTGTTTTAAAGTTAATTTGTCAAAGCAATCTTATCTTTGCTAACTTTACATAAAAGAAAAGTCATCAGGAAAATATAATAATGCTCTTTATTTGCTTGTTTGTACATCTAAGTGCTACAGATAGTAATAAACTACTCCTTGGAAGCAGTGAAATATCTTTTTCACTTGGGCAGCAATGATATTTTTTTCTCGCTATGGAACTGAACAATCAAGGGGTAAAGAAATGCTTGCTATTTTCCTGACAAACACTAATGCATCATGACTAAATTAAATGTTGCATCAATCCCATATAAAGTAAGAATATAGAAAGAAAAAGAATAAAAAAAGAAATCCCTTTCATATTATGGTATATTTTAATGAAGATGTGCTTAGGTAACATAATGTAGAAAGAAAATCTCATTTGCCAAAAATTCAATATAAATTTTTAGCTCCTTTTGCATAGTAAGTATAATAATAATTAAATGAAATAATAATTTAAAATGTGTGTGTGTAATATGTGTATATATAGAAAAGCTGTGTCAGATATTGAGTCAGACCCCCCAAATGCTTTAGACCAACACACGGATTTTGTCAGTGGAACTATATGAATTTATTTCAAATGAAGAGCCGAACATTGACAATAGATATATTGATAATAGGAAATAACTTTTTACCTCTGTTTTACTAAGAGCAGCATATTTCTGTAAGCAGAATTAAATATGTGTTTTCATAAGTCTAAAAATCATTCTGTCTATAAATGTGGACATTTTTGCTGATTGAAATAAACATTTTCTGAAAACTTAGAAGTCAGGTTATTTCATTTGCTTTATTTCTGAGCACATCACATGTATTAGGGTAAAATATGAACATTGCTCATACCATCCATAATTAAAAGCATTTGATTCCTGCATTTCTAGTAATACATAATTTTATAACTTTGTATCAAGAACACTGTATTAAAGGAGCTACTGAAAACCTTTTCTCTGTCACTCAGGAAAATATGAAACAAAAAAACCTGATCATTTCTTGCAGGATTGTATGGTCTAAAAGTTTGTGCCTAGACTGTATGGAGAGAAAAAAGTATATATTCAGAGAGACAGTACACAGAAGTGAAAGCAGCTGAACTTCTTGCAAACCACCCTCAGTTGTGAAAAGAGAGAGAACAGCGGCTACCATGTGGCACAAAACCTAAATATATATTATTTTGTTCCTTTTCGTTAAGACTGCATAGGGCATAAGTTGTTTTCAAGCATGCCTCGGACTCCTACAGCTCCAGCTGTCATGTGTAATTAAACATTTGGCCTCCACAATTACTCTACAGTGTACATATGCCAGTATTTCAAGCCTGGAATATGCATTTCAAAGAAGAATAATTCCCTGGAAATCCTAAATTGACAGGAGCAAAGACAGCCTGAAGGAAAGTAGTCAGAGAAAACTGTAAGGTCGGGATCTAATGATTAAAAAAGAAACTTCAAGAAGAACTTCAACCCTTAACTAAACCAATGGGAAAAAGAACGACAGTTGGCAAGCAGATTTCTGCATAGGGATCCTGATTAGGGAGCCTCTTGGGTTAATTTAATATTATCAGTGTTGTTCACCTTGCTGTAGTATGCCTTACCATTAATACCATTTAAACAGATTTCTTTTTTCTTAAAGCATATTTGGCATCATTTATTTTCCATGAATACTGATCATGGCAATATTAAATTTGATGATTCATATTGAATCCGAGTTTGATTTATAGCAAAGGGAGTTGTTTTTTTCTTGTTTGTTTTGGTGGGTTTTTTTTCATTTTTTTTTTTCTCCCCTGCTCCACATGCTTACATTTACTACTGGTGTCATTTGTAATGCTGAGTTTGCATTCCTGTTAGGAACCCCCTACTTATCATTTTTTATTAGGACCACTTTTAAAGAGATATCTAAAGACCCTATTTCTAATTTAAGTTTAAGGACAATGGACATAGAGAAACCCACATGTTTTTAAATAGACGAAAAAGAAGCAGTAATAAAAAAATGAGTGAATGAATGTTTGTGAAAATGGTTTCCTGTGGGGTGTCTCTGGGGTCCAAGGATCTATTTCCCACCCTTGATCTTCTATTTAGTAGAATGTAAAGGGCTACAGATTTTTTCCAAGGGCTTGAGACACAGAGAAAAACTTTTTAAAAATGAGCAATCTTCTATTAAAACATGTAAAATCACACTCAGCTACTTAGCTTTCTAAAAGTTAGGCATTTAAGACTGAACTGGTTCAACATTGGTGCCTTTCTGTACTTAACAGAGAAAAATAAGTACTTCCAATGTACAGTGTACTGAATGCATTGTACACTGGAATTATTATGCATTATTATAATACAATATTCAATAATAATCCAGCAACACTATATAAAAGAGAGACAAGTATGACTAAAGTAGACTTTGATACCTATATCTGATACATCTGTCTTAATCTGGGATGAATTCCTACTTATGAGGAATTCCCACTTAAGGGGTATTTTCTTAATTCTTGCCTTAATATCACTTAATTTTAGAGTAAGTGACAGGAAGTGGGACATGAGCATTTCCACCAGTTGAACCATATAAGTGACAATGGAGAACTATCCCAAAAGGCTATTGTCAACCATTCTAACCTTTTAGTACTGCAGGCATCCCAACCAATATTCAATTTCAGACTAAGCTCATACATTTATCTTTAACTGAATGTAATTTACTATCCTAATAAAAAAATAAAGTTCACATCATTGTAAGGTGCCATAGGATGACAGCAAGCTACAATGCCTGTCACTGTGAATGATGGAATGACAACAAATTCATGTGAAGCCTCATGCACAAACACACACACGACAAATCAGTGTTTTAAAGCAACTTGGTATTAGGTTCTAGCCTGCAAGTGTTTTATACTGAAAAGCAACTTTTGCAAAGAGACAACAGAACTTCAGTATGATTGAATCATCCACTTCTATTCAGCCCTATTTAGGTTAAAGTACAAGTAAAATCATACTAAACTATGTGTCACTTTTCTCATGATTTTTGGTGTCACTTCAAAATCCAACTCTGCCAAGTCTGAAGCTGTTGATAAGGAGCTGGGTACAGTTTTTCCTTGTTAGAGCTGATCACTGAGGCACCAATTTGGTAAGTAGGAGCTATCAACTTCGTTGACTTTAACTGCTAATTTCCATATTTCTTTTAATAGATGCTAGTGTTGGGGACTATTCAGGAAAAGAGGCAGCATACCTGCTAATTCTGGCAGTGTCTTTGGAGTACTGGCATGAGAATGGTCCTTCTGGTTAAAAACAGAGGAGTAACTTTGAGAGATGAGATATCTGTGCTGCTCTTCCCACCACTCTTCCCATACTAATTCTGCCCCAGCCATGCCTCGAACAGTCCATGTTCTTGCACTGTGGATTTGCCCTCTGCATTTTGCGTAAGCAAGCTAAATCCACAAGTTAAGAGAAATTCATAGTGTTCAAGTATTGGAAAATAAGCCACATACAATTGTAAAATGCCAGTACATAATCGGTACAAAGTCCTGCCTGACTTTCTTTTCCTTCTTCCTGGGATAGGAGAATTCCACTGTTTCAAAACAATCTTTTGTTGATTTAAGTTGATCTAGATGTCTCACAGGGCAGGGGCTTCAGAATCAAAGCCCTATACATATACTTATTGACTACATGGTGTACTTTAAGGGTGTGGTGTTAACACAAGAAAAGGCCTACCTCATCCCCACCCTCTTTCCCCAGTTTTTCTCATCTTTTTAAATGATTTATGACCCTGCCTTTCCATAATGAGATGCTGACTATTGGGAAGAGAAGCAATGCTGAGAAGGAGAGAGAAGGAGCAAGAAGGGAGAGGGTATCACAAGGTTTAGGAAACTGTCAGCATGACTGAAATGTACTGATCATTTTAATTCTAATAAAGTCTGTATCCTGCAATGGAAAAAAAATTGTGCTGGCTGAGGGGTGTGGATCTGAATGTAAAATCTTATCTTTACTGGAGTCAATAAAAAAAAAAACATCGACTTCAGTGAAGACAGGATATCTCCTGAACCTTAAGAAGTTTCTTTAATAGAGACGAAGAATTCTAAAAAAAATAGCACAAGTCTTGAAGTTTCACTCCATGGTCCGACCTCACACAATTTTTTTAGTGAAATGGGATAATCTGGAGTATTGTCTTACCCAGTGCTTTTTCTTTTGCCTACTTTTTGTTGTTGGGCTCCTTGTCTCCATTATCAGCCAATCCTTTTATCCTCCAAATACCTACTCAGACAAGCTCTGAAATAGTATGATGCTATTTTGATCCATATCCAAAAAATGAGAGAGTATGAATTGAAAGACAAAATTTCTAATCTTTATGTAGCTGTTCTACAGTGATTCTTTAAACATGTTGTCCCTAAGGTGGTCAAGTGATCTCATTCTGTTCCATCTCTCCTTTTCAGAGTTAATTATAAATCTGAAAGTAGTTTAGCATGCTGGCAAAAAAATTACATAATGAAAAATAGGTTGTGATAAGTGAACTATTTCTTTTGATCCTTGGTTCCTTCTTCTTTTCACTGAAAAGAGAAAAACTTTTTTTTTTTTCTGATGAAAACTTACAAATCTTGCAGCCCTTGAGACTGCCCACTGATTTCTGAAACCAGTTGAAGTCTTAAGATTTTGAAGCACATTTCTTTCATCCAAAATTTTATGGACACTTAGAAAGTGGGGAATGGCTGTCCAGGCATAAGTAGAACACAAATATGGGGCTCATAATGAGTTGCAAACTAAATGTAAATTGATCAAATAATTTTCATATCCAAAATATTCTCATTTTGTGGGGAATTTGCAGGGTGACACACAGAAGATACGGAACACAATTCTGTCCAGCCTGCCCTGGTGAGACTGGAGTTCTGTGAATGCTTTTGAACATCACACTTTAAGAAAAATAAATGGGAGAAGCCCAGAGAACACGTGAAAAATGAGACAAGGTTTAGAAGACATGACCTGTGAGTAAAGGCTGAGAGAATTTAGCCTAGAAAAAAAATGAAGGAGACTGAGGCAGAGCATGACAGCAGTCCTCTACTGTGTAAAAGATGGCTATAAAGATGATACTAATTTCTTCCTCATTGCCAGGAGTGAAAAGAGTGAAGAAGAAAAAAAAAAAAGAAAAAGTTTTTTATAAAAAAAAACAACTGTCTAGATATTAGGAATAAGCCTTTTGCTGTGACAAATCCCAGAAAATGCTGTCCCTGAAGTTTCAGTAATCCTTCCCTTTAGAGATTTTAAATACAAGATAGACAAATTATCAGTCAGGAGTGTCCAACAAAAACTTGATCCTACTTTAAGGTGATCTGGATAACCTCTTGAACTTCTATCCATCTCTAAACTTCAGTGATTAAACATCTTCTTTAGTTTTACCTAAACAAACACAAAATGGAAGGATTGTGCTAGCTGTAGGCAAAGCTGCCTCCTACTAGTCACCTCCAAGGTCCTTGTGTGTAATGTACAGGCTGGTTTACAATACTGTCAAATCTGTTGTCATTTCAAAAGAAGCAGCACATTTTGAAGACTGAAAAGGGATTCAAAGAAATAATCCTTTATTGAATCAAATGTCATTGGTGCAGTGTTGTCTTCCTGGCCTAGACAAGACTGAATCAATTGTTCTGAAGGATGTGAATTTCCCTATCTTTAATGCATCTGCCTGAACTCCATTGCTGCTGGTGGTGGAGTAGAGCGTGATTTATCTTATCTTGCTGAAATCACCTAAAGTCAAAAGTGGGATTCTATTAAATGTAATGCTGGACAAGTCCTCTGTATTGCAGATGCCTAAATATAGCTGTCTGCAGTCAGATTATAGCTGGCTGAAGTCTAGTTAATTCTTTCAGAAATGTTTCTGGGATGAATTGGCTGACCTACCATACATGACTACTTCAAAATGAGCTGACTAGCTCCCCACATTGTAATGAATTGATTGACTTAAATTTCAGTGGACTATAAGCATCTTAGATAGCTAGCTCACGTGTAGACATCTTCTGTAGGATACCTTGGACTCAGTGTACCTGCCTTACTTTGGATGTTTACTGTAGGATGGATTGAATTGGGCTAATTCAGCTGCCTAAGTATTGTCTGTCATGCTCTAATGTTATACTCCAGATGAGTACAGGTCTCAGCATTTCTACCAGTCTGGCACCAGACATCTATGTTCAGGCAACTGAACTGGTCCTGTCATTTCCTAATAGTGCCTGATTCTGACCATTGACAATAATGGAAGTCTGCAGAGTGGAATGAGAAATCTTACTCTTACGGACTCATTTACACCAGGTTGCATGAAGTTAGACGAGACGAATCCTACCTACCGTGTTGTCATTGATAATGTAAGTAAGGCTTTCACAATGAGATGAAATGATTAGGATCTAGGCAAAATTAAATATGCTCAGGAAATGCCAAAGGAATGAGAGGGAGACTCAGAAGGTTAAAGAAGAGGAGGAGCATGAAAAAGAAAAATGAAGGAAGAAAAAGACCAGAAATATGGTTGTCCTAAGGAGGATTTTTTTTCCTCATTGCCTTTTACTAAGATTAGCAACCATGTACTAAGCAAATACATACCAACAATAACTTAAATATAGCAAAGAATAAAATATTTTATCCTAACTTTTAGCATCAGTAGAAATCTCCCACTCATATTGCAGGCCACCTAGCTTATAAAGCAAGATGTTTGTAACTGCATTTGTCTCAAAGCTCATGTGGCTGATACAAAAGTGGAATTAATCTCTCTCTGTCAAATGAGTTTGATGGTCAAAGATTAAGGGCAATAGTGTGGGCTTTAAGGTATAGCTCTGAATAAGGATGGTACAGAACATGAGTCAATAGGCAAACACATTTTTCTTAGTACTACTCTTAGGTGCATCCAATCTGCTCGAGCATCATGAGGTACTGTGGGCTATGTTTTCTAATTTGCTTCAAAGTGGAAAAGTTTGGGATTTTCTTTCTTTGCTTCATCTATTTACCTTTTGCCCTCATCAACCTCTTTCTTATCAGAAGGAGGCTCTAATTGAATCCCATATATATAATAAAGGTCCCATTTTAAAGCTTAAAAATTTGATACTTTTTGAAGCAATGAAAACACATTATTTGTATAAGAAGCTGTAGGACCAAATGTTTGCATTTATATGGTGTATTAGCTAATAATTATGTTCAGCAGAAACTTGTCAGTCTTTCACAATAATAGGACAAATAATACAAGAGCTATGAAGGAATAGCAAGCAAAGCAATGATTTTGAAATCACAGCATAAAGTTATGAGTTAAAATACATATCATTACAATCTTTGCATACTGAGGTATCACTGAAAACTAATCATTTTACATTTTAACAAGAAAAGGTTGCAGCAGCAATTAGATAGGAATAAAAACAAGAATAGTCATTAATTTGGCAGGTATGTAATATATATCAAGAATGGTTATAAGGACAGTATGAAAACTGCAGTCAATGGTCAGATCAGAGGTGAGCTCATGAATGATGTTAGGTCATCAAATTTCCCAGATGCCCATTTCAGCTTTCCACAGCATTGACCAGAAGGATAAAGTGCCTTTTGATTAAAAAAAATCAATAAATAAAAATAAATTAAACATATTGAATTCACCTTCCCTTTTCCATATTTCACCTCTGAAGTGACTGCCAACACGTAGCATGGTGTCAACAGAGCAACATTACTAATAGTTCCTGATATAACATTTTCCATTAGGAACTAACCTGGAGCTGCCAAAATTGTTTTATGTATCATAACAGCTGTATTATGGCCAAGTAATAATAATGGATTTCAGCCAACCAACTCACCTGTGTTGGGTTTGAGCTGTTTGTGTGCAGACTAAATCCAGTCACCTTCTAAAATGCTCTGTCAGTTAGGTTGTACTCATCTGCTTGGCAGCTGTTTTGTCGTCTAGGAAACTATTCCCATTCACCATGGGCTCCTAACATGCGCACATCTCCTGTTCGATTTGGAGTAGATAGCATTTAGAGATCATACCTCAGTTTTTACAGTGAGCTGTGCTTTTCAGTTCTAGAAGATCTTAATAAAATCCTGGTGGAAGAGATTTGCTTTCACCAAAGAGATTTTCTATGAAAGCAGCAAAAAAACAAGCTCAGCCTATTGGTAAATCTATTCAGTATCGTTTAGTTTGTGGCTGGGTGAGCATCTGGCTTTGAATAAAGAGCTGTATGGAATCTTTTTGTAGCAAGGGTTAGAAAAAAGTTCAAAAAAACTTTCCAGTAACTTTCCAGTCCTCTTTCTAAACAAAATAACTCAGAAAAATCTAATTTTTTTTTTTTTTTTGGTAATTGCTTTTATTATTTGGAGAGCGATTCATAATCATATATTACTGCAACTGATGTCAGAATACCCTTCCTGTTTAATCCAGCACTGCTAAAGTTAGTTGGTGTTCAATGTATCTTGCAATGATTTGAA